AAAGGTTGCTTAGCAACAGCTGCACAGTGAGCAATAGCACATTTCCCAGACTGCAGCATTTTATGATTTAGACCCTCCCAGTATTCAAGTCATGCTGTAGCATGACCAAAATAGACTATGTCGTATGTATGAATTCATTAAATTATTTTTACTTTAAAAAGAGATAATATATTTCACAATTAAAATATTTTAAACAATTTTGAAACATTTTGCTGGAACCTTCGAGGGGAAATGCTATTATTGTATTAGCATAGGTTTTAAGTATCATGATCTTAAATTCAGCATGGCTCTCAAGTCACTTGTAACGTGCTCGTTGTAAGAAATGGGTTCATTTAGTAGGCAATGGATTTTAAATTGATGGTTTCTTGTTCTCCAGAAGTACTAGGCTGGATCAAGTCCAGCTGGACTCTATACAGGCAAAGCATTTGGCAAGAAGAAAACACAATATTTTAGGATACTATCACACTTTATGAGAAGTGACAGAGGGAGGGCAAGATACAAATGTAAATAAGAACAATAATTCAATAAGCCCTCTGGAAACGCACAAACAGATAGACCAATTTATCAACCACAGTTTTTCAGAAGTCAGGTCTGGAACCATATGTTTCCATCTCCCCCCATCTCTCCCCTTTTGTGTGAAAAACCTCCCCCCATAGCTTTAACCATGGTTAAGGGTTGAATTGTTATCTCCTTTAACTAGCTCTAACCCCGACTAAAAGCTAACTTTTGTTAATTAACAATGGTTCTTAGCTGTGCCAGTATAATTTTTCATCACTGATACAGACCAAAAGATGCTCAGAGAGAAATTTCATGACAGCAGCATCCCCATAGGCCCCTTAATAATTGCTGAAGTTCGGTAATTTATGTATGCGCAACATCTAGCCGGCCTTTGGCAAAAACCTCTCAATCTAGATTAATACCACAGCACTATCAAGAAGATAAAATTCACCCTAAGTACTTGGTAACCCACATTTTGCTTTTGGCAAAGATGGAACAGAAATTTTAATTTGTTTATTTATTCAGCCATAAAATAACATGTTTCATGGGATATTTCTGGAAGTATGTTGACCTTTGGAACTCTTAACAGTGTTGCCATGTAGACTGCTGCTATGCCTTTAGGGAAACAATTAAATTTGTAGCCCTATCAGGTGTTGCTGGAGAGATGAGGGATGCAAAAATGGCAAGAGAGCAGGGATCAGTAAAGGCGGCATGAAGCTGGCTGCTGCAGCTTGCATTGACACACGAAAAACAAGAGCAATAAAATGAGCCTGAACAAAGGCAAACTTGTCAAACAAACATGGCCTTGTAAACAAACAAGTACAATTATAAGAAAATATTTGTCCTTCTATTTTACACTTCAGAAATTAAGATTACAGATCTGAGTACAACCCTTGTAGTCCACAAGCAATAAATTTTTTTTTAAACCTGTCATGGAAATGTTTTGGTAATTATATATATTTTTTCCCAATGGGGTCTTCTTTGCCTTCCCCTAGAATTATTTATATTACTGGTATAAATATATTTCTAGCATAAATCTGCACTGAAATCTGCTCTCTAATGTCGTTAGAAGAATGTGTACTACGCTTAACTTAATTCTGTTCAGGTCACATTAAGTGACAATCCTAAACCCAAGAGAATGTGGTCCACAGAAATCAACAGGACTTACAGCCGAGTAAATCTTCTTAAGATCACCGTGTACCGCATACAACCAAGCCTGCTTACATACAACTGCATAACTATTATCTTAATACAGGGCGACCAGAAGCAAAGGTAGACAAGCCTACCACATTGTCAATATTTGTGTACAAGACAAGAATTTTTGCTGATGCTACTTGTCAAGAAGGGATGAGAAAAGCTGCGTTTTCTGAAATTCCTTCTAATCCATCTACCACAATTACAAGATCTCATGTTTGACACAGCATAAACAGATATGGAATCTTACTCAAGCTTCCAGAAACATACCATTGGTAGAGCTGCCTGATCCATTAGCTTCAAAGCAAGATTCTGTGCTTGTTCCCGAACCTGATCTTTGGCATCTCCCATTCGATCCACCAACACCAGAAGAACTAGAGGGGAGAAATAAAGCATTATGAAATACAAAGTTATACCTTCAGGTTCACAGGCACTTTCATCCAATTTCTCTAGAACTGGAATTGACTTTACCACAGGTTCTACAGCACAATTCAGATATAAACCAGAGTTAGGTAGAGGATTCCATGGGCCTCCTTGATTTCCCACTCTCATTTTAGCTCAACAGCTACTAATGCTTTTCAGTCAACCATAATTTCTTTGTTCTCTGCCTTCTAAAAACGGATTAAACAATTTTTTGTATGGTGGACAAGAAACCATAGCTTACGATGATATATGGTGGCTGACATAAATGTCAGAAGGGTTTCAGGGAAGCTGGAAGCCCATAAGCCCAAGGCTCTCAGGTCCATCCACATAAGACTGTTATTGTTTCTAAATGTCTATGTGTTTCCACCATAGGCTTTATTTACAAACCCCTAGGAAAGGAACAACCTACCCATCTACTCCAACCATCTTTAGAGTCTCTGCTTAGGTACCCCTACCATCTCAGGCTAGATGGGTGGCTACCTGAGAAAAGGCCTTCTCTATACTCCCTCTAAGCTGTGGAGTCTTGTGAGCAAAAATTCTACTTTGTGAGCTACTGGCATTAAAGTTGTGAGTGAGCGATTTGGCTACTGCATAAATTGGTTTGCTTTGGAGCCATCCTTCCTAAGACAAATATGTGTGAGCCGAAGGCTAAATAACCGTGAGCTAGCTCACATGATCTCAGCTTAGAGGGAACACCACTGGTGGCACCAAAACTTTGGAACACCCCTCCCGAGAGTTTTGTCTGTCTCCTTCAATTGTTGTTTTCTGCCACCAGGTGAAGATGTTTTTATTCTGTTTTGCATATTCCCAATAACTATTAGCTTCCTCCCTGGTTCTTGGGTATTATATCTGTTTACTAGCAGTAAAGCCCGTTGTGGAAATAAATACAACGAGATCTAGAAAGAGGCTCTGGGGGAGTGCTCTGGCTTTGGGCAAACAGTGTCATTTTGCTGTGGTGACCTCAGCAGGGTATAATGACAGAGTCCACTGTTTTCTCCAGAGGAACTGATCTCTGCTCCCTGAAGAGTAGTTGTAATTTTGAGTGATCTGTAGCCCTCACCTGGAGATTGGCAACAATTGTTACCCAGGATGAAATGGCTGTTTTGGAGGGTGGAGTCTATGGCATTCTACCTGTCTGAGGTCCCACCCCTCCGCAAACCCCACCCTCTCCAGGCTCCACCCCCTCAAATCCCCAGGAATTTGCCAGCCTGGAGTTGGCAACCCCATCTCCTTCCCAGCTAACCATCAACCTCCCATTATCTGCCCCTTTGACTTCAGCTGACTTCCGCCCTCCCTTCTGCAGAGCAATTGTAATTTTGAGCGGTCTCCAGCGGGGTGGATTCTGTAGAGGGCCGCATTGGGGGGGGCGGAAGGACTCAGCAGGTATAATGTCATAGGGTCTACCCTCCATAGCATCCATTTTCTTCAGGGGAACTGATCTCTGTCATCTGGAGATCAATTGTAGCAGTGGGAGATCTCCAGGTCCCACCTGGAGATTGGCAACCCTAGGGGAAAGTCTGCTGCACAGCAGGGGGTTGAAGAGAATGGTTTGATGGGTGCTGGGCCAAGATTGGCAACAATAGTTCCCCAGGAGCAAATAGCTGGGTTGGAGGGTGGAGTCTATGGCACTGTAACCTGTCTGATGTCCCCCTCTCCGGCCTCCACTCCTCAAATCTCCAGGATTTTCCATACCTAAAGCTGGCAACTTTATCTCCTCCCCTCTCAGTAGCCTCTTATTTTGCCTTAAATTGGTTTTGATGCCAGCAGAGTGAGAAAATGCCAGAGGCTCTGGGTGGGTGCCTCATCGTAAATGCACCAAACAATTCCTAAAGATTTGCCAAAACACTACTCTGTCGACAAATTGCAGCACTTTGAATTAGCACCAGAGCTTTAAGAGCTCTCCAGCTGTCACCTGGAGACTGGCAACAGCTTGTTTGGAGGGTGGGGAGTATGGCATTGTATCTGTCTGAGGTCCCCCTCTTCCTCCTCCTCCTCAGACCCCACCCTCAGCAGGCTTCATCCCTAAAATATCCTGGAATTTTCCAACCTGGAGTTGGCAACCCTATGTCCCCCCCCCAGCCTCTGCCTAGAGAAAGGGCAGTCTTTCCCTGCAGTGGGAACCAAAGCAGCTGTCATCATTCTCCTCTCCCCCTATGAGGTATGTTAAGGTTGAAAGTGTGTGAATGGTCCATAATCCCCCAGGCAGCTTTTAAAACATGATCCTGGGACCTACACACCACCAGACATTCCAACTGCCTTGCGGTGGGGGGGGAGGAGTATGAGGTGTGGAATGGAGTGAAGTCCAATCAGCTTCCATATGCAAAAGACCTTGAAGGTTCCATATGCAACTGACATTCCAACTGCCTTGCGGGGAGGGGGGGGAGTTTGAGGTGTGGAATGGAGTGAAGTCCAATCAGCTTCCATATGCAAAAGACCTTGAAACGCTGGGCGGGACTGCACAAAGCAGCCAGTCAACCCAGCCAGCGGCTTCTGACTGACAGTTCAAGCGTCCATACACTAAAGGAGTGCATTTTAGAACTTTGGCACCCACTATTCAATTATATATAAGGAGAGATATGTTTCTATTGAACTATTGTATACACACTTTATTTTAAATGTTTTTAATGTTGAAATGTTTTAATGTTTGATGTTTGCTACCTTGGGGACTCTATATTGGGTACAGAACAGGGATTGAAATGTTTTAAATAAAATATTCGCTCTGGGAAAGATGCTGTTAGGACGGCCCCATTTACTTCCCTCCCTCAGAGGCAAGATTTTCCCTCCTTTTTTCTTTCCCTTTACTAACTGAGCCATCCTAGTAATGTGTTTTCTTCGTTCCTGAAGAACTCTGGCTGTCCCAACCTGTCACAGTACAATATTTTGGCTGTGGGCTCAGCCCAGGAACCTAAAAGAAGGATCAGGAGCCCACTCTAACCTAAACAACTTAAATAGCACTAGAGGTGCTTTTGAAATCCAAAAATAACAAAACATTTTATTCAACACAGAGGGGAAAGGTCAGGTGAAATCAGGGGTTGAAATTTCTGAGGTAAAACCAGTACACACACAGACTTTAGTTCTTGTGTTTCAGGCTAATGAGACTTTCCTAAGCTATTCACAGTTACTTAAACCTTTATGTTGAGAGGCTTTTGTTACAGTGTTTTCCCAAATACTCCAATTCACTTCGAGTATTCACTGACTCTTTTGGTTTCCAGAACGCTGCCTGATACACCATTTCCAGTACCCAGACTTCTTCTCTTGAAACACCAGTACTTGTCTTGAGTTTTTAACTGACTCTTAAGGTCTCTAAAGGAAGTTTCTAACCCACCAAATCAGGGATCTCTGTACTCTTCAGAGCTAACTCCCAGTTTGACTGAGTAGGGAATTTTTCTCTCACACTCTCTCAAAGATCTATCCCCTTTCCTTGGCCCAAATGGAAGTCTTCGCCTACTTCCCAAACTTCCTTGCCAACTTTCCCTCAGTTCTCCATCTGTGTTAAACTGCTCTCAGCTAAGACTGAAATTCAAAACTGTCAATACCCGACACTTCCCAGCTAGAGCTGAAATCAGTCAGTACTCAACTCAGCCAAGGCAGAAATCTGACTTTCTCCTCAGCATGCAGCTCCCTCAAAACTGTATCTGCTCAGCTGATGCTAACGAGTCCGATTGCTTGGAGCAGCCTGTCACTCAAGGCTCTCTGTTTCTGTGAAGAATTAACCCTTCACAACCCTTCAGCTGTTCATACAGTACTTTTAGAAGTGCAGTCTGTCACAGCTGCCTTTAAGCAACTTTAGAATACTAGAACTCCCAGGTCTCCAGTTTTGTCTAGCAAATTTTTAGCAACCCCCGCCCTTAATACTGAAGGAAGTAAACAAGAAGCCTTGTATGCTTTTCACATTAAATACCAGGCAAATGTATACTCTGCTTTACAGCAGTGATACATATGCATGATACGGAATATCGAAGACACATACCTCAAAATATGAAATAAATCTGAGTACATAATACTCAAAATAAGGATTTTGAATACCAGTTCGAAAAACAGCCTCTCCTATAACAAGTCCAATACCTCCGTTCCTCTACCTTGCTTATACATGGGAAGCAACAACAGTCTCTTGAGCCCATGTCTCTGGGCTATTCATCTGCCTTGCTGCGAACACAGAAAGACTACAAAAAAGGAGCTATACAATACCAAGGCAAGCAGGAGAAGGGAAATGAAGGTTTTACCACTTATCAAAAACCAGATGTCCAACGCAGATTAATCAGACTTCACTGGTTAATCTGTTGAAGCCACTACTTTGTTAATAGCAGTGATTACTGCTTTTAGCCCTAGTATTGAAATGCCTAGCTCACAGGCAGAAGCTCAAAAATCCAAACACTATTAAACACATTTGAAAAAACCTGCTGATTTTAATGACTGTAGCTTCTCTATAAATATGGATAAATCAATCCTCAGCTACCTACTGAAACCATACAGCACATAATTTATAAAGTTGAGGCCATGATTACACTTTTGTAAGTTAGACATATTTGGATGCTAAATTACTATGATAAAAATCTCAAAAGGATTTTTCACATTATAAAAGGTACGTATCTTCACAGAAAACATGTGTGACCCAGCTTCTGTTCACCACTAATTGTTAACACACCAGGTGTATTTCATATGAAGGCTACATATATATTTAACCTACTGGGATATGGATCAGTGCAGTAACAGACAGTAACAGACAATATCAACAGACCTCTATTAAGACTCCTACACAATATATACCTCAGTGTGTATCTGGAATAGCCCTGAGAACCGAAGTTGGGCAGATGTCTTACGAAGCAAAGGTCTGGGGAAGAGCATTCAATTTGAAAAGTAGGACTCTAAAATCAAACCCAGATCTAAACCTCCTTGGACTAGTTAAGTTGGACCACCACACAAGTGATTGGGACAGATTATTGGACCGTAAAGTATTATGTCTGGGCGTCACCCATGATGTGATAGAAGTCACAAGTAGATAAGAACTGTCACAGTTTGAGAAACTTTGACTACGAGAGCACATTGATTAGAGCCCACAGAGTATGCTCAGCCTTTTCAGTAGGCATTCAGACTCCACCAACAATGCCAAACTACTTATCAGAGATCATTCTTCCAAGTATAGAAGGGCAATCATGCTAGTGCGCCTGAATGCCCTACCTTCAGCTGTGATGTCAAGAAAATTTAATGAGACTTCATACTCAGATAGACTCTGTAATTGCGGCAGCAGTAAAATTGATTCTGTGGATATTTTGCTTGATTGTCCCAAATTTTCAGCTCTAAGAGATGAGCTGATCTCCTCTTTATTTAATCAGGACTGCCTCTCTCCAGAAATAAAATCATCCTGGTTACTTAGAGACAAAAACAAACCAACTACTCAGCGTGTGGCAACATTTCTAGCAGCCGCTATCAAATCATATGACAACTTTTGTGGCAGCAACCTTTACATTCTTTCATGTTTTCCTGTGGAACGAGGTTTATTGTGAGATGAGGGTTTGCTCTTTATGACTCCAGTTGCAAAAACAGTAAAGACAATAAATAAATGTAACCCTGCAGTTCTAACACAAATGCTTTTCTGAGGCTCAACACTCAATCTGGTTAATGTCAATATGAAGATTCTGGAATTCAGGAGAGGAATTTCACTCAGGAGACTCCAGTTGAAATCACGTACAAAGACTGGATATTTCTGTAATGAATCTGGGTCCCCATGCCACCAAAGATAAACGGCCTCCCCTTTCCTAGGATGAATGGAGCAGCTTTTAGGCCTCAAGACAGACTCTCCTTCACACACAGGTACCTGGGCCTTGCTGTAGGTTTTTCCCTCTGGGTTCCACATATTCTCCAAGCCTAGAACTGGGCCTGATAGAATTGGAGGGAACACATAAATCAATCACTGCTGAGAAGGCAGAGCCTTGAGAGAGTTCACATAAGACACAGCACAGGGAGGGAGGTTGTTCACTCCTAAAACTGAGTGGCAATGAGGCTGCTTTCAGAGGGAGCTGATCCCTCACCCCAAGGTGGAGGTGAGACTGACCTGAATGAGATCAGGTGAAATAGGCTTAGGAATACAGTAAGGCAGTTGCCTTAGGGAACGTTATTCTTTTCCATCTGACTTCTTCCTGTGGCAGTTTTGCCCTGTGTGTTTCTAGCATACCTCGGGTAATTCTTGTCCATTTTCACTACTATTATTTTATTAGTCACAGTATTTGGCTAATAAATTAATATGGGTCCTTTATGCTTTACACTTCAGGGCACTCTCCAACTAAAGAGGGAGCTGGTGGGGGACAGGGAGGGTGTTCACACGCAGCTTTGCTAGCAGCCAAAAGTGACAAAATGCAGAGATGCATTTTTATTTATTAAAATATTTATATACCACCTTTCCCCCTGCAAAGGGTCTCAAGGCAACAATATACGCATTTATCCTTCCAAGGAAGATTAGGCAATAAATTTGCTATAGCTCTTGGACTTTTTAAATTGTGAATAGTGTTTTTTATGTGCCCATATATCAAGTGTTAATTGCTATGTCTTGACTTCTCCATCTACAGTGTTTATGCCAAGTTAGGTAATGTGCTTCTGTGTACAAGAGCAGCATCTTGGTACTCTGAGTCCAACTGGGATTGTCCATGAACTACACTTTTAAAAGCCTCCCTCAACTCCCACCTCTCTCTGTTGCTCTTACTTGCCACTCTAGCAAGCCTTCCACTCCCCCTGCACTCAACAAAGTATATCATACATCATGATAATCCTAGGAAACATTTTAATGTTGCAGTATATAATTCCAATTTTAACTTGGAAGAAATTTATGACTGAATATTTCTACTGCTTGGTCCCAGTGAAAGTGCCCCATGTAAGTATATTCAAAAACATTTATCTCTACTGCCTGTGAAAGCATCCTCCTTGAAGATTCAGACACAGTTCGGCCTCTGTACATATACTGCCTTCCTGAAACGATTTTTAACTTCATAACAAGCTTCCCAACTCTGATTCACTTATTTTGGGTTGGCTGTGGAAATCATGCAAGCCAGAATAGTTTCGTTTCTGTTCTTTACAAAAATGCTTCACTGTTTTCTATTAACGACTACATAGTACTAATTCTTCCTCTGTACTTGCAGAAACTTCAGTGGGAACTAAATAAGGGAAAGTGCACTTTAACTGAGCTAACGATCTTAAGAACATTATTTAAGCACCAAACAAAAGAGAAGAATTCCACATATACCCGCAGACATGCAGAACAAACATTGAACTTTTCAGCACTGCTGTTACACAAGTCAAAAGTTTAATCCTAGAATAATGAATCTGAAAGGTACTTAAATGTCGTAAGTGATTTTACATGACCAAAATCGTGCTGTGATCTGATCTGAATTAGATTAGTTTGCCAATGGGAATGGTGCCATAGTTTTTTCGTATCTTATTTCAAAGTACCAACTACAACTTTCACACAACTACAACTCGCTTCAACTATCAAATCAAAACTAATCTCTGCACTAACAAGACATACACAGTAACAATATTTATGAAGGCATTGTTGTGGCTCGAAAAATCCTGTGTGCACAGTCACCTAAAAATGTTATGCTGGCATGAAACAACTCTTTGAAGTCAAACCAACCAAAGCTTATTAAAAGCACAAGCCAAAGACCATGCTGCTTTGTAGAAAGTGATATATGAACCTACACAATATTAAGTTCATTTGCACCTGGGACCTCCCTCAATGTGGATGAAAATGGGGTAACAGATATGGCTCAGGGAGACCTAAAGTACAGAGATTTTTTATGCCAATAAAGGTGTTGTATTTGTGTACAGAGATTTTACTTTCTGGTTTTACTTTCTGCCCAGGGAGTGTTAAAGTCAGGAGGCACAAAGAAGTGTACTAGTTCGAGGCTTTTGCTTCTCTCACATTTCAGATAGAACTCAAATTTCAAAAATCAGATGAGCCATCTGACAATAACCCTTGCTAGTGATCTTCATAGGCACAGACTAAAATTCAGATGTCATCAATTAACATCTGGAGAGTTCTTACATTTTCGAGATGGGTGATTCATCAAGCACTACATTCCTCTGCAAAATTAACAAAAGGGCCTGGCCACTTTTTTTTTTTGCTTCCAGGTAGCCATACCGGGATACATAATGTAGTATGAGAAGCCAGGAGTCTGCGGATAGCAATCCTGTGGAGAAGCATTCTCTGGGATTTGTGGGGGATCTGGGTATGCTTGGTAAGGACAGAAGGCGATCCCTTCTCATGCCATCTAGCTAACGTGATAATGAAGCCCTGCCACTTTTCTAGGGAAGGGGGCAAGGACTTCCCATGTTAGGAGAAGGGGATGAAATTCGCTCCCCCCCCCCCCCCCTTTAAGCTTTAAGGCAAGCACTCACAATGCCACTGCTGCCTACATTCACTTGGATGCCGGATCACCTCACTGCAGTACCTGGAAAACATGCTGATTTGTTGCTGGGAACCAATAGCTCAGCCCAAGGAAAACTAATTAGCTAAGTAGCACCAAGGAGATACAGTCCTAATGAAGTCAACATAATTACTTCTGGTGTAAAAGTGAATTGGTTCTCATCATATTTTTCCAATGGAAAGGATTTCAGCAGAGAAGTAGCAACGTGCCATTCTGCATTCAGTGAAAACAGCCAAAGGCAATTTTCAGTTGGGATACCAAAGTTCAGTTTGTGTGAGATATTGGTATTTTCCTACTTCTACAAACTGTTGTAAAACTTTTCCCAGACCACTTCCCATCCCTGTTTGTCTGGTCTCGATCTAGATATTATTAACCAATAAGGAAGTTCCTAGTCTCCTCTAATAACAGCCTTCCAATCAAGGGCAAGACTGAGCAGAACCTGCATCACAGCCATTTGGACTATGGCTCTGGAGAATGAGGAACCCTCTTAGGCCTGACCTTGTAGACCACATGTAGAAAACAGACATTTTTTTCTTAGACCTGTCTTTCAAGTATAGCTGGTAAGGGTCTCAAAATATGATGTTTGAGCCTCCAAAAAGCATATGCAGCTTGCAGCATGCACTTTGAAAAGAGGCTGTTCAGTGTGTGCCAGTGTGGGAGGGCCTGGAGATCAAGTTGCTAAAACCTGAGAAAACACAGCAAAAGGGAGATGGCATGTACAGAGGTCCTTATGATATACATGTAGTCCCTCTACCTAATCCAGTCATATTAGAAGTATTTTGAAAATAATATGGATTTTGGTTGCTGAAATGCCGGCTTCTAAATCTGAAGTAGCAGTTGGGTAACTCAAACCATGCTGTACTATCCTCTAGCATACTACAATCAACTAACACAATGTCTGTTTGTTTGTTTTTTACTTTAGTGTATCCAAAACCAAAATGTGAAGTGCAGACTGAACCCATTTTAAGAAATTACTACCTGTACACCTTTAAAAAGAGTATTTTAAAACCACTCACCAGTTCCTATATAAGATTTGAAGCGTCCTGACAATCTGTCAACAAAGGCACCTAGAAGATCTAATCCAAGTAATGACACCTATGGAAATGATAAGAAATGTTAAAAATGCAGGATCACGTGATCGGTTTACACATCACAGTCAGGTTCACACAACTATAACCTTTTAGGATGGAAAATCAGACAGTAATTCTAGCTAAGGCTGCCTTTGATCCACCTTTACATTACAGACAAACCAAGAACAGGTTTAACATTTAGTTGGTACCTGCTTCTGTCATTCAGCTACATAGCATGCACTGCAGAAACATTGTGAAGAACAGTGCTTGGCTTCAGCCCCTCAGTTCCTAATCCTGGGGAATATATACAATTTGGGGATGGGGGTCTGAAAGCTGATTTTACATGCTATGAATTTAAAGCAGGTACAAGCTAAACAAAGCAGGTACAAGCTAAATTTGCTTCTATTGTAAAGCAGGCTTCACTCACACCAGGCCATGACTTGGAAGCCAATATCAAGAGGTCTGTCTGCATTACAGCATAACAACAACTGGGCCATCATAGGCTAACCTCAGAGAAGGCTTCTGTTTTATACCTCAAATTCACTTTTTATTTCCAAATAGCAGTGTGTTTTGGTATTGCTTGGATTATGCAGATATTCCATCATGAGGCATTTTTATTCCCCCACAACTCATTTTTATTGCCTATGCTCTAATTTAGAACTGCAGAAGCTCTGTTGAGCTTTTCTCTATAGTTTGAACACAGAATCACACAGAGTCCATCCTGTCCTTCAGCTGGCAGAGAACAGAAGTTTAAGAGACAGAAGGGCTGCTGAAGCTATTTGGAAATATGACTGCAGTAAGCAGAGAGTGAAAAACTAATTGAGGTGATAAAGTGGTAGGAATTTTGGAAAAAATCTTGAGCACACATAAGCAATTTAGCATTGCAGTTGGCCATGCCAGCAAGAGTCACTCTTTTTTGGATTATAAGATAACAGATAATAGTAATAGAAGTGCTCCCTGGACAAGATTCAACAGTTTTCCTTATCAAACATAAGTTTTATTTCCTTTTAATTAGCAGATGGGACATTTAAGATAAGCACACCATGTATATCAGGGGTGTCAAACATACAACCTGTAGGCTGGAATGGACCCATCCAGGGCTCTTATCCAGCTTGTGAGCAACTAAGAATGTAAGAGAAGTCAATGTTGGATCAGGCCAATGGCCCATCCAGTCCTACACTCTGTCACACAGTGGCCAAAAATACCAGGTGCCATCAGGAGGTCCCCCAGTGGGGCCAGGACACTAGAAGCCCTCCCACTGTTCCCCCCAAACACTAATAGCCACTGATGCTCCATATGTTTATCCAATTCCCTCCTGAAGCCATCATTACCTTTATTGCCAGATGACAGAGGCTGTGCATTTTGTCCCTGTGTACTGTCCCAGTGCTAATGAGCAATGGGTGATGGAAGCAGGAGGATGGGAATCAGGGAGATACTTTATGGAAATACTGTAAAGAGTGTTAACGTTTTAAGCCTGTTGTATTTTGTGTAAAAAATATTAATTGGGTTTGCCTATGTCCTCTATAAAGTTTTTATTTCCTGTACTTGGCATTATATTTTATGACACACATGGCCCGACAAAGTAACACTTATGTCAGATCCAGCTCTTATAACAAATGAGTTTGACACCTCTGATGTACATTTATGTTTGCACAAAACACAGCCATTTTTTTTATCATGAAAGGAAAAACAAAACTACCATATGTGAAAGGGACATATTGTCCAGGTACCCTGCCCCTCAAACACAACTTCGCAAAGCAGAGCTGGTTAAATCACACCCCTCCACACAAGCCATTTCATTTTTCGACACCAGGGTTGCCACAAGCAGAAAGCACACAGGGAACACCATGACAAATACGTACTGGGAAAGGAGGAGGGAAAGAAGCTGGAACCAGTCCAAAAGTGGGACCAAGCAAGCTGAGAGGAGGGTGAGAAAGGAAGCTGGAAGATTTTATGTCTTTTAATTGTATTTATGCTTTGATTGTTAGCCGCCCTGAGCCCGCATCGCGGGGAGGGCAGGGTACAAATGAGATAAATAAATAAATGGCGCTGGAACTTCTATACTTTATAGGAGAAGAAAGGGTGTATGTGTGGGAGAAGTAAGAATAACCTCCTTGTCTTGGAGAAGCTTAGGTAGCTGCTCTGAGGATGCTGAGAAAACCTCAGCAAAAGCTAAGGAAACAAGACTTTGGCCTTCCTCTGCCACCTACTGGCTTGTCAAGGAATAATACATCAGCTAAAAAACATTAACAGCATAAACGTCCTCCTTTGCTCCTGGAAGGTTGCGCAGTGTGACATAAGCATGTATCTTCCTATCTGTTTACAGGAGAATGATCAGATCTACTTAGCTTCAGTAATGCTGCAGCTTTAGATGCTCCCAGCCCATTCAACTGGCTTTTAATATCACTTATATATTTATGTTTTATTTTATTTACTTTATTTATACTCCGTTTTCCTCACCGAGACTCAAGGTGGATTACACAGTGTAAATCAATACAATGATCAGGATGAAACATCTAATAAGCAATGTAATAGAGCTAGGATTGTAGAACTCAGAAACAAAGCAAATATCTGAACAAAGCATATTCAACACAATTGAAATAAATACACAATTTTTCGCCTGACAGCAGGCCTCTAAAACTTGCAATTAGAGAACAATTAAGATAAGATTTTAACATACATATAAAGGGCCTCTGTTGGTTTAGATTCTCACTTTGTTCCAGGCTCCAGATAAGGGAGAGCTGCACACAGCTATGGGAACTGTTCAGTCACAGCTGCGTTATCAACAAAGCAAGGTGGTCAGAAGCATTTAGGGAAAATCAATTAGGCCATTCTTTATTATACGCACAGGGTATTCACACCCATATGCTCCTGGCTTATGTGCATTATATGTGAACAATTAAGCCTTACTGTTTACCTGATAAGGTGGTGTTTGAGGAAGAGTTTCTGGAAAATGAAAAGGACTTCAACAGAAATGTTTAACAGCAGAGGAAAATTTTCAAGAGGTGGGTAGGCAACATTTATATGCAACTCAACTTATTCGCAACAAGCTCAGCCTGCATGCATGGATTAGCCTGTTATTACTGGGTTACCACCTATGCAATTATTTAGAATATGTCATAAACTATTCTGCCTATGGAACCAGGAAGAAATATATTTCTTATGCTACAATTTCAGGGAGGAGGACAGGATAGAAGTGAGGAATGTCTCTTCCTAGAATAAAGACTACAACGGTTCTGGGACATGATTCTAAGAACATACCACCCTGCTGTATCAAACCAGCACTCCATCCAGTCCAGCATTCTGTTTCACACAGTGAATGATGCCTCCAAGCACTGGTCTTACTGCCTCTGAATGTAGACGTTTCTCTTTAATCATCATACCTAGGAAGCACTGATTGACCTTTGCCTTCATGAATCTGTCCCTCCCCCTACAGCAGGGCTTGACAAATCCCAGGCACCAGGTCCCCAGTGAACCTAGTATTTTTAGCAATTATTCTGTATAGTGTCTCTCAATAAGAAGTCTCATTGGAATATATTTTACTGTATGGCATAAAAATACATGTGCATGATGTTATTGTCATTGCTTGCTTATATGTTAGCTTTACAACATTCAACAGTGATGAATTAGTTAATATCTTAACCAGCTGCTTTCTATACTGGCTTCAATATTCAATTATATGGCACTTCTGAAATAATAAAGGAACTATCAGAAATAGAGACAAAGTGTAAAGAGGTTGGGATTAGGTTTTGTGGCACCAATAATTTGAAAATATGATAATTAACATATAAAAATCTGAAGAATGGGGAAAAAAGTCTAGCTCCTAAATGTTTTGGGATTGGCTTTTAGAAAATTTGTCAAGGCCTGCCTACAGCTATGTGGGCTAAATGATATGCACAATATAGCACTAGGTTTGCTTTACGAACACCATGGTGCAACTGCTGCCACTATATGAGCACTAAATCTACTTACCATTACATACTTCCAGCCACTACACAAAGCACACTGCATCACCTAACAGCTACAGCAAAGCAATACAATACAGCCACATATGTTTCAGTTCTTTGGACAGATTTACCTCTGAAAAGTAAGGCAGTCTCAAAACTGCAGTTCATATCTAAAGAAGTAAACAAACAGATAACTACGCAACACTTTAGCAGCTATTGGCAGAACATTAATTAGTTTTTTCTTAATTTCAGGTACACCATCTGTAGGCCAAAGGTGGAGCAAAATCAATGCCAGGTCGTATGGTAAGTTGTAACCTGTTAAAGCGTGGATATTTTGAATAATTTCCAATACTGAGCAACAAATGGACAATCCCACCATACATGTATGTACGATGCTTTCTCACCACATCGCTTCCAACACAGTGGTGAGGTATTTGTGTATATATGTGCCAATTTTACAGGTGTAAGGTACCATCTGTGTAGCACTTTCATCGCTGATTCCGGAATATTGAGGGAGTTCGATATTTTTTGCATGCGTTTTCTAGATGTCTTCCCATTGATCGTCTGTCAAGCATCTTTTAATGTCTTTGCGCCATAGGTCCTTATAGCTAGGCGGTTTATTTGACTTCACTTCCAGGAGTTGTTTGTAAATCTTGGAAATTAACCCTTTCTTAGGTTTGTTTTCTTTTAATAGTCTTTCATAGTTGGTACGTGGCTCATAAAGATTTAACTTGAGTTTACTATCCTGGAACAGATGTTGTACCTGCATATATTCCATCCATGGCAGTTTGCAACCACCCTTCTTTTCCAATTCAAATTTGGACAATAGCTTGCCCTTGGCCGCAATGTCAATTGGTCTCATCAAATTCGCTGTCCTCCAGTTATGGAAGGAGTTCGATTCCAATGTGGGTGGGAACCAGCTTTGTCCAGTGAATGTACTTAATGTGGAAGGAGAATTGGTTAAAAGGGATCTGTTAGCAAACTAGATTTTCAATGTGGTTTTCAAGTACGGGTTGGATATCCTTTTCAACATCGAACGATGGTTTGTTGTCCACAGAATCTCTCTGAAGTCACTTTG